AACTGGTTTTTATTAATGTTTTTGGTGTAATCATGCATGCTACTTCTGTTAGGTTCTAAGTCCATTTAAAAAGGAACATATATTAAGAGCTGATTATGTAAAGAGTAAGTCTGATCAAGAAGACATTTTTCAGATTACACTTCAAGCCTGAAGAATTATTAGAACATACTGTTAGCTGGAAATGAGCACATTTGCAAAGTGAGTATTAGGTAAATAACTTCATAATTGAATCCCCTACGTTTTAAAGGCTAGACAATGCCACCTTACTTATGTTGAGTAGCACCATTCTTCTCAAGCAGCTGCATTTCAATGGGGCTATTCGAGGAGTAAGATACTAATCAACTTCAGTAAGGGTGGCAGGATCTGGCCCTAAACCAGTATTGGCAGAGGAAGAGAAAAGTGATAGTGTGCCATGCAATATTTAAACACATGGACTTTCCATTTTAAATGTCACTTTTATGCATATATGTCTTATCAAACTATGTATGGAATTATACACCCCAAACCCTGACTTCATTGATCTACTAATACCATTTGGCTGCAGTATTAAAACAAGGGCATGAGACACAAATATCTTAAACTTTGTAACAAACTCATTGTAACTGATGTATTTGTTCCCACACAGGAGGAGTGAGACACTGGACAATCTATTAATTTGTTTTCCTATTTGAATAAAAATACAGTCTCGTAAACAAAGAAGGAAGCTAATACCATTTGGACAAAAACATTTACATTACAGGCACTTACTAGAAATGTTTACACTTTGCTTTATTTAAAATATGCTGAGAAGAATGCTCTAAATCTTCCATATATATATATATATATATATATATATATATATATATATATATTCTCCAACCTGGTCATGCCTAAATGACAGCATTCATGTGAATGGGGTGTGGGAAAACCGGGGATAAGCCTTTAGCCAGCTCCACCCACTGCACAATGTGTGTGCACATATGCACATACATTTGTTTGGCTGGTTATGGATCTGCTTGGAGACCTAAACTCCTTTGAGGATTTTTTCTTTTTTCCCTGGTCTTTTCCTCTTGCTGAGTGCAATCACTATAAAGTGAGGCAACACTAGTCTTGGCAAGCCAGTCAATTGACCAGTCAAATAATGTCAATTGGCCAACTATTATTTTACCATGGTCATTTATTATCAGATATTCCAGAAATAATGCCCTTAGGTAGGCGGTAGCCTACCTTTCTGACTGCATCATGGTACCATGTGTCAGAAAGCTACTTAAATTCTACTCTACTACATGCTAATGCACGTTCTCGGGGTGAAATGATGAAATTGTTAAAAGTTGAGCATTTTGATTAGCTGGAGTCTTTCTAGAACAAACGTATGTATGTGTATCTTTAGTTGCATCAATACAGGCAACAGCTAACAAAGAAGATTAAACAATTTAAAATACATGAACCCTGCCCCAGGGAGTTTACAATCTAAACTGACTAGACTAACCCCCCTCCCCACGAAATTAACCCACAAGACAATGGGGGAGGGAGAAGAGGATTCACACTCACTAAACCTCCTCTCTCAACACAAACAGAAAAATTAAGCCTCTGTCATCATCCACAAAGCCCCCCAACACCTCTGTCATCATCGGCAAAGCAAATAACCTACATTAAATACCCATGTAAATAAATCCCCAGTTCCCTTCCACACAAACCCAAATATATATCCCCATCCAAAAGATATCTCCAAAAAGATAATGAAAAGCAAGATGCTTGTAGAGTAGGTCTGCTGCCTGCTTAGCATAAGTCCATTTAAAATTACTTTTTCCTTTTATATGTTTCTTTTATTTCTGTTTAATTTCTTGTCTTTTGTAACTCTTCAGTCTTGAATAACATTTTCATTAAAATAAAAACCTAACATTGCTAAAAAAAAGTTATAATTATTTGGTTCATTTTTTGAACTTCATGTAATTGTTTTTTTGCATTTTTCTAAGTTAAAATAACTCAGTAAAGTAATTTTTTTTATAAATAGGTATAAGTATCTATCTAAGGCAAAGCCTTTCCATATAAAGTCTTATTATTTTTTGTTACTGTTGTTTCGGTTCTAATAAATTAGTGCCTTAACCTATTTAACCATTTTGACTTATGACAATATTTGACCAATGTTTGACTGGTCAATCGACCAATTATTTTTGGAATGGTCAAATGCCCAACCATAGGCAACACTCCCTCATCACATGACTGTTAGTCCTATCATGACCAAAATTAGTGTGTGTTCCCTTCCTACTTTTGAGCTGTTTTAACTATGGATCCAGCCCAGGCAGAAGAAGATTAAAGAGAAAGTGTTCCTTGGGGGGAAATTGAATTGATTCTTTACCAAATTACAGTCACAGATGAAGCAGCAATCAAGACATCTCTAATTAAATGCCCTTCAGAATACAGAGTAGCTAGTCACCAGAGAACATTACAAAATTAACTATAGAATCTAGAGTAGATAGCTCCCAACATCAGTATAATTGGTACACTTTGCAGAACTCATGGAGTAATGCCTTAAGGTTAAAAAAAAAAGAAATCACATTACTGATATCCTACTTATACTTATTACACAGTACAATTTGTGAAAAATAGAGAAGAATGTTCAGTAACTTCAAACCCTGACTTTTAGCATTCTAGACTTTCCATCAGTTTCAAGCTCCCGCTTATAAGAATGGAATTACTGATCATAATTAAACTCTACATATTTCGCATTTTATGAGTAAGAGTGTGCCTGAATTTCTATATTAGCAGCAGAAAATGTATTAGTTATTGAGACACCATGGTATTTGTACTGCTTCAATCAAGACCAAATTGAAATTGCTATGATGTAATGTTTTTCATATCTTTTTTTCTTCAGGAAACAAAATCCACACCTTCATTAATAATTCACATTTTTTCCCTTAAAAATATCACAATATCTTTTTTCTCACTTTTGTAATGGAAAAAATGCTCAGTAGCTGTGTTGCTGGTCAGCAATCTACTGGCTCCTGATACACGTCTTTATCGATCCAGCAAGATCATCTCTCCACATTATCTGCTGTTTTCTTCTTTAGTGTTTCTGAAGAACAAAAGTTATGAAATAGTTTAAAATATGTCTAGTCAGAGGAAAAGGAACCTCCACATACATCAGATTTAAGAATAAGAATAAATAAAAAATATTGAGTTTGCCGTTCTCCTATAATGAGCTCTGGATCTGTTCCTGGGCGGCACTGCACACCCCTGATAGGGGTTGAGAGTTCTCAGCACCCATCATTTGCAATGTGTGTTTAGTTATTAGGTTGGGAGTCTCTTTTGTTTTGGATTTGCTGTGTTATATTTTATATTAAGTGCAAATATTTTCCCAGAAACTCGATGGACACAGGTATTAGAAAAAATGAGGGAAAATGTCCCCCAGTGAAATGGAAAGAAAGGGAAAAAACCTATATTTAAACAAAATAAAATAATAATGGGTCAGCCATAAAACCACAAAAGCAATTAAATTCTAAGTTGAGACTTAAAGTAAACTATTAGTTTATCATGATTTTCAAATAGAAAGTCTGAGTTGACAGAAAAATTATACACTGTAACTTTGAAATCAGGAATGTCAAGCTTTGTTAGATCAGTGAATTCTAGAGGAGAGCCCTTTACCCCTCCCATACAAAATGCCCTGCTGGCAGCTCCCAGACAGTTCCTGAGGGATTGTGGTGAGAGCATACTTGCTGATCTTATCTGCTGTGGAAGTGATTTAGAGGAAGGAATTCTCTCAAGTAACTAGGATCCAAATTATAACGCACTTTAAAAGAGATCAATTTCCATATTTGAATTGTACCCACACCTGTAAGAAATAGGTAGCTAATTCAATCTGTGGAGTATTTGCATAACTTGCTCCTTCAGTTCCATCCATTAAGTGGTTAGGCTGCAAATGCTGCACCAGGGGAAGAAGCTGAATATTTTTTCAAGGGCAGCCCCGTATAGGGAGTATTACAGTTTTATGAAGCCACAAGTACATTGATTTACAGGCAAAGTCAATACCAAAGAGAAATTCTACACAATTGGGGGTCCAACTGTAACCTTAGTATTGCAAACGTCACTGATGAATACTGAGCATGTGTCCTCAAGCATGTCCATCAAATTCCCTAGCTAATTTTGTCAGCCAGCCAACATCACTTTTGTCCTTTGTAATTTCAACCTTGGTGAATTTACTCTACTACAAATCCCAGTATCAACGAGGCACTTGGAAAGCAAGATGCTGCGACACCTGAGTCAGATGAAATGGAGATGCTGGATTGAATGTCAAACTGTCTTCCACAGCTGCCCGTTGTGTATATATGGATCTGACAAAAAACAAAAACAAACAAGCACAAACAAACAAACAAACCCCAAAAACACCACAGCTGGAAAACCCTGCAATAGAACCTTTTGAGTGGATGAGTAATTACTCAACACTACCCTCTGGGATCTCTCTCTGAATTAAAAACAAAACCATCCAAGCAATTCTTCCCACAATTACTAGGCACTACAGTAGACTTAAGAAAAACACTTCTGTGAGGTTAAGATACATAGTGTAAATTATCCTAACAGCCCACATTTAAGTGAACTGTGATCCCTTCCTTTTTTTGTGTATAAAACTGTATACTGCGTAAAACTCTGTGGACAAAAAACCATCTAACATAAGATCTCACATAACTATCTATAAAATATATAATATAAAAAATATTGGGACAGATCCTTAGCTGGTGTAAATCTGGCATGCCTGTGTAGTTTCTAGAGTATTAATGTCCTTCTTTATGTACAATCTTCCTGAGCTGACCTACCTCACCTGTGCCAGGCCACATAAATGCCAGTCGGACAGCTTCCTTATGAGATTTTAGAAAACCAATTTCACAAATAATATAAACTATATATTCTACTTTTTTATATAGATTGTCTGTCTTATGATGGACATTTGTAGTGAGCAATAAGTTTGAAACAGTACAGTTGCATTTTTATAGACAATTAACCATGAGTTATGCTTATATTTTTAGGTTAACAGGATTTCATCTTCCTCCACCTGTGACAAGTACAAAGTCTGTGTTTTCACTGCGTTTGACAAGTGACTTTGCAGTTAGTGCCCATGGGTTTAAAGTATACTATGAAGGTAAGAGAACATGATTAACACTCTTCTTAACAACAGGATTTGAAAGCTTTACCTCATCCCTATATATAACAGGGCTCAAATGTGACATTTTGCTAGTTGAACTGAACCAGGTACATTTATTAAAAAGTTTAAAATATTTCAATAACCTTTCAGTTAGATGCCAGGATCTGTCATAAAAGTCAAAGGTTTTAAATACTCCATAATAAATTCCTTATCTTGCCCCAAAACTGATTGATTTCCCCTATTGTTTTTCAACCCATCTCACTGTCTGATAGTTGTGGCATTAACATTTTGGAAAAAGTATTACATACACTTTTAATGACTATAATGTTTAGTATTTTCAAAGTTTGTTAGTCCAAAAAATACCAAGTATTAAAGGTTTGCTGATCCTAGCTGAATATTTATTTGTGTACTATATACAAGAAAATGTATAGTAACTAAAGGCAAGATTCTGGCATCCATACAAACATTGAGTACCATCATCTTCCGCAAAAAGTCAGCTTGAAATCAATTATGCACAATGAAAAGAGGTTAGCTGTGATTTTTTTCCCCCATCTGCTTTCAGTACATGAAGAAGGGTAATCAAGGATACAAGTTTATTCTCTAAATGTTTCCTGGGCCCCTGGAGCAGAACCAAAGTTTCTGGTTTTACTGTTTATATAGGAGAGGTGATGGTTAAGTTCTGACCTGCTGTCAGTGCTGCCGTCAAGAGTCCCTGTTGGGGTCTTCTGAGGGTTCAATATGTGTGTAGGCATCAGCTTGAATGGAATAATGTGTCATCTTCCTTAATCAAAGGACTATGTTTCTTACATAGGTTCAAAGAGAACTCCTTTATAATCAACCTCATCTTTAAGTTGTCTTTGCATAGTATGAATACTCTGGCCCGACAGATGGTTTGGCCATTACCTTCTATATTTCAAAGCAGTGATTGTGCACTCCCATTTGTGCACAAAATCAGGTCTATTTCCTTGTGAATTCCAAGAGTAATAAATCCTAGGGATCTGTGGTCTCTTTTTACTGGTGCTGACACATAGCTGATCTCTCCCCTTTTAGTTAGGGTGTCTATCAGCTAACCAATAGCTATAAAATATCTGAAGAAGGTCACATCTCTGAGTTTTATCCTCCTTGTTCCTGTGGATCACTCTGATTTAATCTATGGGAGTTTAAGCAGCTGAGGTGCAGTTTGGGGAGGCAGTGATTAGGAAGATGCCTGGAGGCTCATCTTCTGCACAGAGGACTTATGACTGATATGCATATAGAACACCTATGACTGATGCCAAGCGAAGTTACTTGTCTTCAGCCACAGACACTGCTAGGAACTGTTTACTTGAATACTGCAAGATACTATGCAGTTCGAATACTAATTCACACAAATAGTTTTCCCTAAATCATGTAGTTAATTAAACAAGGAAATAAAAAAAAGGTTATTTGCCAGTTTTTGAGACCTGTTTTGTAGTTTCTGGTTGTTTTGAACATGTCTAATTACTTTGTTTATTCTGCAGTTATTTTCTAGTTCACATACAACAGAAGGATAATTTACAGAACTGAAATTTTAGCTATTGTATAACAAATTATATTTGGGATGGATTACAGACATTTTTTACTCTATTGTCAATTGTAACAGGTGTTTGGTGGTGATTTTGTCCAGCAATATCTTATCTGGAAATGTGTTAAATTATAAGTATTCAAAGTATAATATATAATTTCTTCTTTCATATTTGGAAAATATATGGTGTTTTTTTTCTGTTGCTTTGATGGTATAATGTTGAAAGATTCCAGGGACTTTCAAGGTCTAAATAGTGCTTTCTGCACTTCTATAAGGGGTCCTTTAGGTATTTCATACTATTTTTAAAAAATGTTGGGGGGTTCTGTTTGTTTGGCTGGTTTTTGTTTGTTTGTTTGCTTGCTTGCTTGCCTGTAAATACTCTCAAAACTCCAATCCTGAAAAAAACAAACCAAAAAAGAAAAGAAAAGAAAACAAAAACAACATCACAACAACAATACAACCTCAAACATTCTCATCAGGGTAAAAAAAAAATTGCTCTATCCACATAAAACCAGATTATTTGGGCTAAGAGCAGATGGAATGCAGGGAGGTTGGGGAGTTCAAGTTCACACTCTCCAATAGCAGCCGCTGTCCCTCGGCTTTGGTTACATGGGGTACTGGCACCACTGGATCTGTATAAACCTGCATGTGTGTGGCCCATTCTCAGGTACACAATGGTCCTGATCCTGCACTATTAAAATTAATGAGAGCTTTGCTCTTGACTTCAGTGAGCTATGGATCAAGCCCAAAATATGCAAGGTTGTACAGGAAAACCTGTGTGGCTGGTCAGCTGGCAGACTCCTCACACAGCTTCAATCCCAGGCTTAAGCAGCACTCTAACTTTCAATGGGACTTGAACTCCTCAGTCATGTAGGAACTTTAGAAAATTTCACCCTGTGTCAAAATAACCACTGTTTCTTGTAACAAACTAATTAAAACTCTTCTAGTTAATGACACTTGGGCCCTGATTCAGCCAGTCATGTAAGCATGATCTGAAAGTTAAAGAACCATGTTGCTTTGCTGAATCTGGTCTCAAGTGTTTTACTGTATTCTTCCAAAAGAATGAGATGAGACTGCGTTGTCTAAATATCCAAACTTGTAATGCATCCAGAGGTCCCTCACCCTCCCTCCCTGACCCACAGCAGCACCTGCCTCCCCTAGAACTGGTGATAGGCAGTGTCATCCCTAACAACACCATTTATTTCAATTCCCATTCCCCTGCCTAGCTTGTCTCTCAAACTGCACTCCCCTGCAACCCAGCTGATGGAAGAGGGGATGACTATTAGATTACATTCATTTGATGTCTTACTCCTTGGCATTAGAGAAAAGATTTATTTAAATGAGATTCCATATCAGTAGACTCTCCAGTACTTTACCCCTGCTCTTTGTGAACACATACAACCCTGTAAATAATATTTTCAAAACTGTGTCTCTATCTAGCGTCCTAAATCCATATATAGACACCTGATGTGGCCCAATTTTCAAAAGTGCCAAGCCCTCAGCAGTTCCTATTGATCTTTAACATAGCTGCAGGTTGTTCAGTGTCTCTGAAAATCAGGCAATTTATTTAGGTGTCTGAATGTGCAGTTAAAATTTGAAACCTGAGATTAAAAAAAAAGAGTGGCACATCACTGAAAACATGAAATAAAGGTAGAATTTGGTAGCTTTCAAGGGGAGGGGGTGAATATTATTGAACTATGTATCTAAATGAATCTATGTTTGAAAGAGTAAGTTATTGACTGAGTTATGTTAAACATTATTCAGCCTTGTCATATATGAATTACAGGACTCTTTCCATTTTTTTTAAATAGAAAATGGAGAAGGAAGAATTACTATCTCCCAAACCATGATCAACTTTGCAGTAATTTCTCACTGACATATTTTCAGACATATTCTCTCAGGTATAGATATATGACTGTATGGAAAGCACGGTTGTGCAGTAACTAAACATTTATTTGTGGCTCATCTGAGACTTGACCGGAAACTCCAGAGTAGCTGAAAATCTAAGTGAGCTATGAATCTCCTATGGACTTACTCGGGAATGACCTATAGGTATTGTATTAATTTCTCTGTTCCCTTTTTGAGACTAAACAGGGAAAAGGAAACACATAGAATTACAAGTAGAGCACTGAAGAAAGATTTTGCCAACCTATTTCATACAGCAATCCAATTCTATTTCTGTTTTCAATTTGATTTTTAAGAATAAAACAAAGAATAGAAATAGACAACTTAATTACAATTAAGTGTGCTTTAAAACTTCACTCATTGGACAATACCATTGAAAAATTAACATCCTAGCCAATAAGCAAAGAAAACTTCATACTATAGCTGGGGGGATTTTTTTTTAGATGAATAGTTTATTAGTTGAAAAATGCAGCTTCGCGTCAACCAAAACTATACACAAATCAGGGTAAAATTAGGCAAATAGTTTTGGACAAAAAATTAAAAGAAGAAAAATATTCAAAAAAGTACAAATGTTCAGTTTGACATTTTTGAGTTTAAACATTTCAACTTTTCTTTTTGAAATGTTTCATTTAGAAAATTAGCTATATTTAATTCAAAAAGGGGGGAGAAAACACCTCAAAATGAAATGAAATGTTTTGTTTTGAGTTGAGTGAAACGTTTTATTCCAACTGTTTTTTTTTCTTTTCAGTTTTTCATTTTGGCAAGAAAATACAAAAAATGTCTCTTTCAGGTCATCCCAAATCAAACATTTTTCTAGCTTTTTTTCTCCGCTTCAGACACCAAACCAAAAACACAATTATTTTTCAACTCTACTTCCTCACCCCCAGATTAGCAGATGGAGTTGATGTTGCAACACATTTAGAATCAGAGGATATGCAGCTTGGTCACTGGTTTTGTTTGAATGGAAGAAGATCATAGAATCATAGAATATCAGTGTTGGAAGGGACCTCAGGAGGTCATCTAGTCCAACCCCCTGCTCAAAGCAGGACCAATTCCCAACTAAATCATCCCAGCCAGGGCTTTGTCAAGCCGGGCCTTAAAAACCTCCAAGGAAGGAGATTCCATCACCTCCCTAGGTAACGCATTCCAGTGCTTCACCACCCTCCTAGTGAAATAGTGTTTCCTAATATCCAACCTAGACCTCTCCCACTGCAACTTGAGACCATTGCTCCTTGTTCTGTCATCTGCCACCACTGAGAACAGCCGAGCTCCATCCTCTTTGGAACCCCCCCTTCAGGTAGTTGAAAGCAGCTATCAAATCCCCCCTCATTCTTCTCTTCTGGAGACTAAACAATCCCAGTTCCCTCAGCCTCTCCTCATAAGTCATGTGCTCCAGACCCCTAATCATTTTTGTAGCCCTCCGCTGGACTCTTTCCAATTTTTCCACATACTTCTTGTAGTGTGGGGCCCAAAACTGGACACAGTACTCCAGATGAGGCCTCACCAATGTCGAATAAAGGGGAACGATCACGTTCCTCAATCTGCTGGC